TTTCTCTAGGCATCCTATAGATCTTAGATGAACGCTCAGACCCTGAAATTAAAATTCTCAGGCCTAAAAATGTTTTGTCAAATCAACAAACCTGATGGAGAATGACTTGAAATAAAGAGTCTGGTAATTGCAAAAGGATACACAGAAGATGCTAGGACCACAAATACACTGAACAGACGCACAAAACAAAACACTTTTTCTAGTTGAATGGCTTCTGTTAGAAACGTAGAGCTTCTACTCAAATCTTTAAATTATCACTAGAAGTTGTTTGTCTTCACGAAGTTCCTTACATAYAAACATTATGCTGTGGATGCTTTAATGCTCCCTCAAATGCTAGTGATGCCAACACTACCTGTTAGGTATTTTTGTTAAGTAAACCAAAACAAAACAAACCGCCTCCACACAGCAAGAATGGAAAAGAATTTAGCTCCTTTCTTGCTGCTTGTATTTTAGGGGAAACTTGCTATACTACAGTACACATTGAGTTTCCAGGCCGCCTGTTGTAAACTAGTTGATTAAAAACTTTCCCTCAACCATTAAAAAAACACGGATTTTAAGTATGCAGATGCATGTTACTCAGTTTTTAAAGAGATGTATAAAAAATTGCATTTAATTTGAAATTCTACTCTTTCAAAGGACAGGAGCTTACAGTGGTGTATTAAGAGTTAAATCCCCAGACTCATAGCCTGGGGAAGCAGCACAGTTACCCTCACATGCATGCACAGCACAGGGCAGGAGCACACACACACCTGGACACATGAGTGTACTCAAGCACATGGCAGGAGARGGGACACAGGGTAGGGCAGGGAAAGCCCAAAGGAGCCGGCCTACCTGTGCTGGCTGCCCCTGCCAGGCATCGCCGAGGAAGAAACAGGCCTGTCTGCTCTCCAGGRCAGCTGGCGCCACGGGTCTGTGGGTCAATACGGAACGAAACCCACACTAGAAACTCCTGAGGAGTGAAAGACACTTTGCTGTGGACTGCTTCTCAGACAGAAACACGTAGCTTTTTGCCTGCTCATSCAGAGAAGAGATTATTCCTGAATCATATGCAAGCAGATCAAAAACAAGATCTGCTAAATTGCCCAACAGATCTTTATTCTGTCATAAAATGGCAATTTGACAAATGCTAACACTTTGCAGAAATACTGATCTTCTGATAGAAGAGAGGCAGAGTTGGAAATCCGCCTGTTTCGGGAACAGTCTCTTCACCTGGCTCCTCCATGGCAAGGAGCTAGGAGGCCAGACCTCYACATTTCACAGCCATCTGAGCTCCCAGCTGCCTGAGACTCCCAGAACAGACTCCTGCTCACCGGGGGACCCTGGAAGCCCTCAAAGCTGCTGAATGAAACCGATATAATCCTTTTAGTTTCACCAGCAGCCCCCACTGATTACCAGCAGCGAAGCTGTCAGGTCCTATCAGCTTCACACAGAGGCAGTCARGGATCCTAGGGAGCACACCGAGTTTCTTAAGCTAAATATTGTGCAGTTTTAATTTCACATTCTCAGGGAAAGAGGACAGCTTTTTATCCCAATGGAGAATTTTCACTGTTTGGGGAAAATAAAAAATGGGGAAGAATTGAATTTCATGGCCAGCTCTATCAGAACCACATCACTCCTTTTTGGATGCCTCATGATTTCTAGTAAATTAGAGCTTTTCCAATCAGTTACTAATTTGAACCAGGACTCCTATGTCAACATAGAGGTAAAATACAACCCTTTCCTTCTACAAGGAAAGAGGAATTAGATGAGCTGTACAACCACATCCACATTCAGGGTTTGACAATATAAACATTTTGACCAAAGACAAGCTTATATTCTCAACAAAATATTTACACAGAAACAGGCAAGATCTGATGAAGYTTAGAGAAATCATTCTGTCAAATGAATAGCTCAGTCCCTTCACTAGGTGAGCTTAGGTTCCCCAGCTTTAGCTCCTGTTATGCAGTCATTCCCATACCCTGCACTAGGATGCGTGCTCCATGGCAAGGAGACTACCCTTTCCTGAAGCTTTGCACAACAGCTGGCCCCACACAGTCCTGATCTTGACTCAGTTTGCCAGTACAAGGAGAAKCTAGAGTCACAAGAAAGGTTCCATCTATGGTATTTTAGTAATTCAGATTTCTGTGAGAGGTAAAGTCTGTCATTTTTGTTAACTTTAGGCAGGAAACAGATTATGGAACCATCCAGRGAGAAAAGAATTGAAAGATCCAATTTTACCACAGTTTTTTTCTACTTGTATGAATAACATGCCCTCTGCATTTCAAAAAACACAGGCTGATTTGAGACTCTTCAGAAGCCATGCATTAGTGTTTTGTGTTGACCTGCTCACTTTCACACTCAGCATTTGACTTAAACCAAAAGCCCTGCGAACAAAAAACAGGTGAAGTGGAAAGAACTAGTTCAAGCCTGGCTATCCCATCTCCAATACAGACCTGGCTAAGATGCTGTTGGTTCAAATAGTGCTAAGTTTAAGCAGCTCGACCCAGCTGCCATGGTCAAAGGCCTATAGTATCTTCCCAAGCTCTTGGGACTAGTTGGGCCAAGAACTCAGCATCTGCTCCCCCAGCTGCAACAGATCACGAGCTCATTGCAGTTAAACTATCTTGCACCTGATGCAATTCTTCTGCAAAGTAATCTCAAATATTTTAGTGCTAACCTAAGTTGCCCTACTTTTCTCTCCAAGACTGTCAGATTTCAGACACAATCAATGTCTGCCTGAGGCATCTCCTAACCATTAAATCTTTGCCAACCTTTAAACCAACTTATATAATTATAACCAAGTTATCCTCACAGAGGTCTACAATTTTATTTGATAACACACACAGAGCCTCACATTTCCTTCCACAAAACTTGGCAGCAATGCCACCAAGCTGCCACTTCCAAGGCTCCCAACAGCAGTTGAGCCTATTTCAAGCATGGCCTCCTCCATGGGCCAGCAAAGCCCAGCAACTACAGTCAGCCTCCTCCCATCATCCATAAACTRCAATAAGTTTAAGTAATAAACTTAAATGTTTTGTCACAGCTGGCCAGGGAAACTAGCTTGGCTACTGCAAAGGTGAAGTTCTATCCTTCCACCTTTGATTTTTCCCTCTGCAGGAAAAATGCATGGTTTAATGCAGTATTGCTACAAGACAGCAAAGGTAAACAGGTTCCAGAAACATGACTTCTCACTGCATTAAAAAAAATGACCGCCCCCCCCCCAAAAAAAAAGAATTTATTTGGTTATAACCCTTTCTGGTGTTCTTTCTTTAAARAAGGATAAAAGAGGTACTTTGGTTAGTTGTCTTTAGGTTTGGGGTGTTTGAGTTTCCACACACACACACTTTTCCTCATTTCAAAGAATAAACACAACTATATCTGTTTGTAAGACCTGTCAGCACAGCAGTCAACTTAAAAGAACAGCAATGTCCATCTGTTGGAAGTAGCATCTTAAGACACTTCTGCACTAATGCTAAATAGAGCTTATCAAACACAAGTCAGAGATCAAGTGGTTAAAGTGGAAATTGTAACTAACTTGTTACCTCATTTCACTCTCCGCCACTTTTGCCTACCCTTTCAGGTCACATGTRGCACATCCTTTAAAGCCTGATGCTGCTCTTCTACTTCATTCTGCTGTAGCAGCAACAGCCATAAACAGCCAGCTATTTGCAGTTCTTATCAYTGAAGTTTCTAGGAAAAAAGGCACTAAAACTCCTAATGAGGAAAAACATGCAATACTAAAATAGATCTAAACAAAAGCAAAGTTTGAGCTTTATCATCAAGAAGAGTTAGGGAAAAATAAAAAAGATGATAGAAAGGTTGCCCCTGTTACAGGTAATTGGGGGGATAAAATATCAGGTAAACTACCCGAAGGTCAGTCTATCAAATACCGAAAAGAACTACAAAGTTTTGTTTAGTCAACATAAAATGCTAACACAGACATACGTACAGAGATCAAAAATTTCCTGTAGGTACCTCTTGTTTCAATTTCTCAGCCAGGATTCCCTACATCCATATTTAAAAACCCTATTTTGGGGTGTTGCTGTCAGAAAGATTAAATGATTTGCAACATGGTTGAAATAACAAGCTTCAGTTTTGAAACAGGGTCCTTCCAAATAAATTCAGGCCACGCCACGGAAGCTGCAGGACTAAAAAGATAATTTAGTGGCCTACTGATTGCCCCTAAAAATTTATTTAAGGACTGCCAGAATAARAGAGCTACCTACAATTGTTGAACACCACCGATAGCTGAACCTGTTTCACTTTGTTAGTGCTTCAAAACAGTAATTCTTTTTTTGTTGTTTTTAATAAAAAAGGAAACAAAAAGCTCTAGTTCCTGCTCATAAATTGTACAGGGCTCAGCATTATTCTAAATAGAAAGGAGTATTCTAAGTTTCTAGCAGCAGCGAGCAATCACTGAAAAGTTCTATTTTCTGAAAAGAAGTATTGTTCTCCCAAATATCCTCTGGTTCTGCTTGGGTTGCAAAAGCCTTCRAGAACAAACAGAAGATCAAAGACAGCAGGGTCCACATTGCAAAAAATCTTGAAATAGCAACAGAAATCTCAGAAGCAAGAAASAAAAGTCAAATAATAGAAAGCAACAAGCAGGCAGCCTGAAAYATACCTACAAACAAGGCTTCCTACGTGCCAGCACAACTACCTCATTTCTCTGTCCCCCACAGTAACATCATCCCAGCCATACTGAAATGAGCTCAGGCTCAGAACAGCTTGTGTCAGGTGTGCCAAAAACCCAAAGGAGAGAAAAAATACACAGGAAAAAAAAAAAAAAAGTTGATAGCATTATCATCAGGATTCTTAGGAGTCTTACAGCTATAAACATACCACTTCATTCCTATACCTGCAGTTAATTTAGTTATTTCCATTCAGAAGAAAACACTGTGAAATGAACTCCCTTCCTCTCTCCTTACCTCAGTTTACTTGTGACCTCCATGGGCCCACAGCACAAAGAGGCTTTAGAAAGTTTCAGAGGGAATGAGACATGGAGCTTAGTTACCATTTACCTAGTAGGTTTCTGAAGAAGAGCCATAAAGCATGAGTCCACGTTGTGGTGATAGAGCTGCAAGCAAACAACCTTCTCAAACACAGCACAAGGACAGAGTGTCCCAGCAAACCACCACGAGAAACAGCTTAAAAAATACTGCTCCTACGGGCCTAGCAACAAGTGCAACCCTTACTGTGTTTCAGGGTAAAACTAGAGCTGCCTGTTTGAATTTTAGATTAACCCAATTAATTGAGCCCAGGTGAAGTGGGTTGAATTTGCACAAGCAGTGGCTTGCCTGAGTGCTAGAGACAGGAGACCACAGGAGAAGGCAGGGCACAAAGCAGCCGATGTTGGCCAGTCAGTAAAACCAAGGTGCAAATGTCTGCAAGGAAGCAATGGGGAATGGCCCTGGTGCTGGAGGCCTGGCCACGCTGTCCCCATGTGCTCAGGGAGCCGAGGCAGCCTGGGCCTCCTCGGGAGGCAGGGCTCCTTGTGGTGCCTCAGACYATGGACTAGCTCTGCAGTCCATGTGCTCTTCCTCTCCAGCTAAGAGGAGCTGCATGGGGGTGGGAAAAGGCAGGAGAACATGTGGAATTCATTTCAGCTACAAGGAAGCCGGTGGTCTGATTCACACAAACCCTTTTCCCTCTGTGCAAATAGTGTAAAGAAGCAGCTAGCAGTTCAGTTGCCAAGCCATGGGTCTGTTAATTGAAGCCACAAGTTTTACCATGGCCCTGAAGCCCCACGGGCGATGATCTTGGCTCATCTGTGTGCTCAGGTTACAGAATGGGAGAGCTGGGAGTCTGCACTGCATTTGACTAAGAGATGCTTAGCAGCACAGCAAGCAACGAGTTAAATGCACAAGGGAGAATGCACAGCCCTGAAATGCTTTTTTCCACTCGCATTCRAGAATCCTCCAGACTATTCTGCATCATGTTCTGAGACATACATCAAATGGCCACTTTTTTAATTTTTTTTTATTTTATTAAGGAATGACAGACAATTAAGAGACGCTTAAAGTGGTGTCTTCAAAGCTCTGTTTAATTTCCTATGTCTGAACAGCTCCATGRCCCACTTTTTAATTGCTGCATCTAATGGAGGTGGGAAGGTAGATCAAAACTGCTAAGCTTTGAAACTGTGAAAACTCTGCAGTTCCTACTGTTTGCTCTTTATTTCCACAGTGGAAGATTCTGTAATTTGTTGCACTCCATTTTGCCATTTGCATTCAGAATCAGTTTCTTTAACTCTAATACAGCTCTCTCCTAAGACAGACATACCTTGCATTGTAAAAGTAAAATACTTTTACAAAAAGAAAGATTAGTTTTTTTCCCCTGCTGTTTCCATAGACTCTCTTGGAAAGCCATAAAACAGAAATTTAACCAAAAATTCAGAGTCTACTGCTGACTCACGGAACAAAATGGAATATAGGTGTCTGAAAATAGATTTGCAGGATAGGGGTTCCAAAAGCACAGGAAAGATGTAGGAGCASAATTGCCACTCAGTATTTGCAATGTCTCACAGCTCAGTGGGACATTTTAGCTTCATGTGTCATCAGTTAATCCTATGCCAGAGCAACTGCAGACCATGTTGAGATAGCTTTAAATTAGACATTCATATGTTTTGAGGAGCCACATTATGGCAGCAAAAGCAGTGGCCACTTCTTCCACAAATTATGACTACAGGCAATTTTTGCTGGCTTGTGTTTCACTGTCTGGGGGTCAGGTAAGCACAAGTCATTTTTTCCCTCCCTTTCCTCACCCTGCCATAAAATGACTATTGCTTCCAAGTTCAGCTATGTGCAGAAAGTGCTATGCACCTCCCTCCAAAACAACAGAACAAGACCAAAGGGTTGAAAGGATTTTCAGCAAGATATGGAGCTTTCAGCCTGCTCAGACAAGAAAGAAAATGTGATGTATGTTTTCATACCTGACAAAACACTAAAACTCTGTGCAGAAGTAACAACAGCTCGGACCTACCCTGCTATTTAAAAGAAAGATGGAGAGAGGTACCTCCCTACCTACACATGATGCTAAAATGTCCTGCCGAGTTGTGGGACACTTTGGAAGTGTCTTGTTCTCAAGCAGTTCTCCATCAAGTCTGCTGGTTTAGATGGTGTGTGGATGGGGGTAATTCAGATTCAAATCTGAAATACCACAAAGTCAAACTCCATATGCACCRCTCAGGTTTGGGCATCCTCTATCACCTACAAAGCAAACGCCTCTGCAAGTAATAGCCCTTGACATCCTAATTTCCCACTACTGTCTATAACCATCTATTTTCAGTCTCCCCTCAGAGCAGGAAAAAGGACCCAAATTCCTTTATTTCTCTTTCAAAGGTTAACTGCAAGGTAAAGCATCACTGCAGTTCCACAGCACCGCAGGAGGGAAAAGAACAAGAACAGATGAAAATAAGAGCTGGGAATAACAGGAAATCCCTTAATCTAGTTTAGCTTGTTTCKTCTTTTCTCCTGCTGCCCATGAAGAAAGCTATCACCTGAGGGGAAAAAATAATAGTTCAATAATCCCAGTTTATTCCTGGGACACAGAATGAATCCCTAAGCTCTTTCCTGTCAACTAGGTGCCATTAGACCACAGCCAGCCAACCTGTGACTAATTCAAGGAAACGCAGGTGCAGCAATCACCAGCCAGAAGGCAGCAAGGCAAGGTGGGTTTGCTGCTCCAGAAAGAGCCTGCAGTAAAAATGTGCATCACTTCAGGCAGTAAGATGGTGAAAAGAAAAAAAGTGCACAGTTAAAGTTGACAGCCACCTTCCTCTTACCTGGCCAGGTCCTGTTCACTAAGGATCCTTAACTGTCCCCTTCCTGACACCTCTGTTTTAATAGTGTGTCATCCATTTAAAGCCAGGCTGAAAACTGTGATTCCAACAAGCACAAGAGCTTCTCTTCCTACAAATTAATACTGTGTGAAACACAGTCTAAATCTTCTGTCTTGACATGTTTAGACAATAGCAGGTCTATACACACACCCGCCTCGGGAGCCTTACTTTAGCACCAGTAATCTATTACAATAGTGTCATCGGGGAAGGCTTCATTTACAGGTTGTTGTTTGCATTTCTCACCTCCTGACATTTGCAGTTTCTCGCAGGACCTCTTTCGCTGTTGCTGCTCTCTCTTTGCGTAACGGAGGTGTTAGTCCTCCTGCCGCAGCCACCTGCAAAACATCGATCCGCAGCACATTCCAGCAAGGCATTTCCAGCCCTGATCAGAGGGCTAACATTCAGAATCATGCTCTGCTTGGACACAGAAACTTAGGGTTCCTCTCACTCATTTCCTGATTCGTTAACCTATTGACATTTGCATGTCTGAGAGTTTTTCGGCTGCTTTAAGGCTAAAATCTTTTTTTTTTTGTGACTTTATTGAGACTGTCAGAACTAAAACCTCTGTTTTTAAGGATGTGTAAGGAAAATAAAATGGTTGTACCGGGAGACCCAGGATCAGAATTGGGAGTTAGCAGTCAACTTCTACTTAATGTTTCCTTCCAGGATCACTAATGTAATTTTGGTGTTTTTCGTTAACTTCCAGCCCTGAACTAGGGCTGTCCTTGCCCCCTCAAAGCAAAACAAGAAGAATTGTGGGGAAAGAGCTACTAATGCAATCCTGAAGCTCTCATTATCTTGATAATAATAAATTTAATAAACAGAAAGCTCTTAGACTGTTCTATACCCATTGTAACAATTTAACATTCAGTCGCATTACATTCCTTGGCTAGTGGCAGGGTCTTCTCAGTATTATTTAAATGTCATTATTTTAGCATTTCAGCTGTTTGATTTCTCATCAAATATCTCTGTGTGCAGAAAATTTGCATGTCGAGAAGGCAATAAAAATATATTCACACCAGTGTATCAAATATAAATGTTATAAAACTTGTTACAAGCGCAGCAGAAGCTTGTCAGTCAAATAGTTGGAAAAGATGTATTTTGATATTTTTCCCTCTCTAAATATAAGTATGAATATATTACTTTGAGACAAAAATAATGCCTTTTGGGGGTTCATGTTTTATGCAAAGATAAGTTCTGGCACATGAGAGAGTCTTGTCTAAGAATTAGATTTCAAGAAATAATTAAATTATCTTCCTGAATTTTGTAGTTACACAATGTAGTGCAAATCACTTAGCCTTTCTACACTGCCATTAAAATACAYGGAGAGAAAAAAAAAGGGGGAAAAAAAGGCAAAAAAAAATCCRTATCTTTAGAACATTTTCAGAAAGCCTCAGGCAGAATGACTATATGTATTTATTTAAGGGTCAACTTGATTTCCTGGACATTAATGGGGCATGGACATATGTGGGTTTTAGAAACAGTCAATGTGGCTCAAGTCAGTTGTGTCCCTTGAACCGTTGGCTCCCTCCCTTACAACTGAGCCACAGTAATTGAGGAGGTGCTCCTCATCCTCCGTGCAGCAGTGGTTTAAATCAAGCCAGGAGACTTTGCACTCAAGTGGGCCAGGGGTGCCTGTGTTGCAGCAGTGCTTCTTCAGGGACGACAATAAACAGGCTACAGTCACCGCAGCTATTAGTAAAGTTGCCATGTGATTGTGCCCTTAGGTCATAGACAAAATACAATACACCAGCAAGAGAACATTTTTCCTTTTTTAAGTGCCAGTGTTTGTGATTATACAGAAGGAAAGACCGTGCATCTCCTTTTGCCACTGATGCAACCATTAAGCAAGGATTAATGTTTTCACGCATATTCATTTCCACTGGGAGGAAAAACAGACAGAAAAAAAAAAAATCTCTTCCATTAACATGAGTTGTTTCAATGTGTTTTCATGCCACTTSGGGGACTTCTGACTTCATAGCTTAGCTTGCCCAACACAACCCCTTGCTGGCAGCTTTTAGCATAAAAAGTTGAATAGTTGTAAACTCTTTTCTATTCTATGGCCACTACACCGACATCTGACAAAAAAGAAATTGCTACAAGACAGCAGAATCCTTCCTCGCCCCTTCAGCCCACTGCTGACCCATAGAGATATGACTAAGYTTTTCTGATAATTAAAAAAGAGGCTGAACCCCCTTTGCCGTTCCCCTTCCCAGCTCCCTGTCACACTGCCAGTGTSACACACTCAGGACTCCATCCAACCTTGGT